GAATAAAGTCAGATCTGGCATTTTCAACCATTTCATTGTATGAGGTCATAAGGTCTCTAAGATGGAGTCTGTGCACCTCCAGGTTGGTTGATTTCCACAAACGTTCAGTCCTGCGACATAGCCTCTTTAGACTTAGAGTATTTTCATTTGTCCAAGGGCAGGCTTTTTCCTGTGTTGACAAACTAATTTTAATAGGGGCCACACAGTTCAAGATACTAGTACAATGATTACTAAACGAATGCACAAAGTTGTCCACATCGAGGCAGTCCGTAAACAACAGAGGATCAAACATGGAGGAAAAAATTTCTGCAGTATTAGCGGATACAATACGCCTCTGAGACCTAACTATAGCTGGCTTAGGCTCAGGGCTGAAGTGCAGATCAAATGAAACAAGATAATGATCACTCAAATGTACATCGTTTACAGACACCTGTGAAATGTCAAGGCCAAGCGTAAAAACAAGATCTAAAATGTGACCTTTTTGGTGCGTGGGCACAGAAACATGCTGCTCAAAGTTAAAAGCCTCAGTCAAAGTTAAAAGTTCCATTGCAGAGCAACATGAGCAGTCATCAATGTGAAGGTTAAAATCTCCAACGATTAAAACCGATTCCAAATTTATAATGGAGGATAAAAACTCACTAAAATCCTTCAGAAATGCAGCAGCAGGGCCAGGGGGGCGGTAGACTGACACGCAGTAAAATGGGTTTAAAGAACCCACCTTTACCATCTGGCACTCAAATGAAGGAGATTCCTGGGTCTGTGACACTTTGCATGTGCAACTGTCCTTGTAGACAACAGCCAGGCCTCCTCCACGACGTGAAGGGCGGGGCTTCCCCACGACAGAGCAGCCAGGGGGACAGAGTTCATTTAAATGAATAAACTCATCCACTTTCTGCCATGTCTCACATAGACACAAAACATCCACATTTTCTCTTTCACAAAGCTCATTCAAAGAGAAGGATTTGTTTGTAATAGACCTAGTGTTCAACAGGCCGATATGCAACGAAGGTGACGTCACAGGTGAAGTTTCCGCGGGGTGCAGCGTGATTGGACGAAGGCATGTCCAGCGGTCACGTGCAGGGAAAGCCGGTGTAAACACGGAAGCGCGTGGACACGATGGGAGCCAGTACTGACCACTGCTCCAGCGCTGAGAAGGCTCCAGGACACCCACTGCGGTCCGTGCGGGCAGCGGCGTGGATGCGGCGTCACACAGGAGAGGAATCCAGCGTAAGCGCCGCGCACGTTCTCCGTGGCCGAGGAAGGCAGAGCCCCGGCGGGCAGCAGCGCGTCTTCGTCGGACCTGGACTCCAGAACGCGAGCCTCTTCTCCTCGATTTCTTACGGACTCTACCCGGTGCCCGAGAAAGCAGCACGTACTCCGGTGAGTCAGTGTCAATGATGAAGGGAGGGGGGAAGGCTTGCTCGTACCTGTCCCGTGAATCAAAGAGGTCCTCCATCGAGTCTTTGATCCGAATTAGAGAATCCCGATCATAGATCCGCAAAGCGGAGACACATTCAGATACAATACGGGCTGTTATGATTACATAAATTGTGAAGAAGGCCATCAAAAATCTATACAGCAGGAGACGGGCCATGGCACTGCCGGTCACAGGCGCCATCTTTGTGCCAGGTCAAGAATCAGAAGAGTTACTTTCTGAATGTCACAGGAATACATACTTTCTTAGATTTCATCTTTAAGGTAAAAAGAAAAAAACATGTTGCATTACGCATAAAAAAAAACAAGTTCAGGTGAATGGCAGCGAGTGCACGGAGGAGACTGGTATAAAAATATGGAGGAGTTAGACTTGAAATCACAGACCGCATCATTGGCTCACGGGACGCGGCAACAAGTCGGCAAATGCATTCATATTGTGGACGTTCAATCACTAATTCATTTCATTCTAAAACAGGAGAAGTCATGTCAAAATATAACTGTGTAGTGAAAACTTTGTCTACAAGAAACTCACCCTTTATCTACTATACAATCACAAACCACTAAGCTAGCATGAGTTAAATATAGCTTTTTACTGAGCGTGCACATATGCGTTTGTCTGTGCGTTCACGTCCGCTTATGCAAAGTACCATACACACTAAGAAATGGAGGGACTGGAATGGACCTAAAAGGGTACAATGGGTTTGTCGCCCCCACAGTACCCTAGAGAAGAACAAAGTTGTACCTCTCAACATAGGATCAATTATGTACCTTATCGTCTGTACCTATAATAGTACTTTACTGGACCTCAAGCGCCAAATATGTACCTTAATGTACAGGTACAAAAATGTACCCATATAAAAGGATAAATGTTGTACCTCAGCGGGTACAACTGGAGGGATCTGTTCCTTAGGCAAATACAAACCCTTAAATCCAATAAAATATTTATTTTTCAGAAAATAAATGTAATTACATTTCATTCACTTTAGTTTACATGTTAAAATACACAGTAACAAGTTTGGTACAAAATGTTGAACCAAAAAGTTCCAACTATAGAAACTGAACATAAAACAAAGATGTGTTACAGATTGGATTTTTTTAAACAGTCATTTATACAGAACATCTCAATCCAACATATAACTTGTCATCAATAGTGTATGCATCAAGCGACGTATGGTCCTTTTCATCTCCAGGTTTAATCAAAATCCACTCATTGTCTACTTTGACACGATATGCGTGGACATGCTGGTCAAAGGACAATGGATACAACATTTTACTGCAAAGAAGCCACTCGGTATCAATATTAAGTATGTATTTGATTTGTCCGAACACTGGAATTTCTTCCTCGTGTACAAGATCTAGAGTCAACACATCTCTAACAGCATATTTTATATTGTCTACTATCACTTCAGATACACGCTGAAACACTTTCCCTTCCATATTGCTGAAGTTGCAGCTTTGTTTTAATGTAGATTGAAGACAAATGGGAAGTGACAAAATGGGTGTACTGATGCTTCTTCCGGGCACCTTTTCAAAGTCTCCCAAGATATTACAAGGTGAAAAATCAAAACACTGTTTCAGCTGGTGACGAGTGCTCAATGTCATAGTTATGTTTCTGAAATTTCTACAGTTACTCGTCAGACTCTTAAAATACTGGTGTTTCCCTTCGAAACGCATACACCAAAGAGAACGGAGAGGACCATACATTAATAGAAGTCTTGGATAATGTGAAAGGAAATGACATTTAGGTGTCAATACAGCTCCAAAAACTTCTTTCATCTCAGAAAGGAATGTGTGTATTAGCATTTTTAGAAAGGCCATTTCATCTTTCCTCACTTTATCTGCTAAAACAATGTCTGCAATATCTCTGCACAAAAGGAACACATGCCAGTATCTGCTACCAGGAGGAATACGGTGTCCCATTATAAAAGGCAGCAATCGGAAGAGACACCATTTCTGGGCTGCCGTACCTACGATCCCCTTTTTTTTGATAACCTGTTCTGAAAGCATTATAGGTTTATTGGCCTTGTCATTCTGTCCGAAGCAGAATCTATGAAGTTCTTCATTTAGCTCAGTTATGCTTATATGCTTTTGTTTACATGCTTCCACAATGACATGTTTCATGGTCAGTGGTAAAACACCCTCCAAAAGATCATGCATTATGTCTGGGGGCAGAGACTTTGTCACATCAAAATAATCAAGTGCATCAAATGGGCTTCTGTACTGTACTCCATACAATGCAGCATTTACAACATTTTGCTCGACTGATTGGAGATGATACTCATGAACCTCACTTGTTCGAAGAACATAGCAATCTTCTTGAAACTTGTCATTAATTTCTGAATGGGTTGCCATACAGTAACGACAAATTCGACCAGAGTGAAAACACATGCGAAACCCACCAATCATGTGAGCTGACAGATTATCCCCTGAAAAAGTTGCTAAAGCAGCATAAACTTTACTCTCTCTTCCAGATGCTTTTATAATCACGCCTTGTGTTGAAAGCAGTTTTAAGTCATCAATCATTGGTTTTAATATGACCTCCATACTAAACTGTTTCATGTGAGAGTAGCGAACTAGCATAGCCAAATGAATATGCTTAAGCTGAGATCGGTACTTCCCACTCAGATTCCCAACAGTGTAGTAAAACGCACACAACTTATATTTGGTTCGCTTTGACCCTAAAGGGTTAACAATTTCAAATTCATCTTCATATAAATGAATCCTTAAAGCATTTGGGTGCTCTTTGAAAAAAACATGTTCCTTAAAATATAGAGCATCACGATAGTCTGTCAGTGTGGTTTCATCTTTGACTTCATCCATTTCAGATAATATTTGATCCCAGACATCTTCATGGGAACAGTACTTCTGTAAAACTTTAGATATTGGAACATAAGAATAGGTCCCTATAGTGTTTCCACTGGAGTCTTTCAATGCAAAGTGTGCAGGTGCCGTATAGTCCATCTTGGTCTTGCAGTGCTCTTTAATCATGTAAGGAGACCGAACTGCCTCACAAGCTTTAACAAAGAAATCAGGTGAATTTAAAACTTGCTGAAGCTCAGGGCACTTTGAAATAGCAAACCCGCTTTTTTCAAGATGATAAGAAATAAAGGCATCATAGTTTTCTTTAAAAAAAGGAGAAATTGGACATCATCAGTAATTTCTTGTTGAACTGACAAATGTAAAAGATTCTTCTCTCTGCATTTAAGAACAAATTTAAACAGATTATCTCCAAATTGGTCCATTAATTTATCTAAATTTGGCTCAACAGTTTGAGGATCAGATGCACATAGAGGAATCTCTGCATTTTGTGAGCTTTGTTGCTCTATGCAGGCCTCCTCACTGGGACCCTCTGTGTCAGGAGACCGAACGACAATACTTCTATGCCTCCTATACACATGCCTTCTAAAAGAATGAAACTGGGAAAAACTTGACTGACATTCACTTATACCACATGTGATGCTAAAACCTGGTTCATGGGCATGAACAAGCCCAACATGCTGAATAAACTTAACAAGAGTAAACGTTCTTCGCATGCATTTAGGGCACTGGTATAATGGAGGCATCTATCAAAATTGGTTAATTATTCTGAGCACAGTTATTGGCAGAGTCTTGTCTCCCTCTTCCACAATGCTGACAATGCGCCGCTGAAGAAAGCTCAAAGTGTTTTTCAGGTGAGGTGGGTATGCAATGTTGAACACGAAGTACATACTGTAGGCCGTTATGAAAGCTTCATCAAAAGTTGTGCACTGGCACACATCCACGCCATCCACTTTCACCAAACTGGGCCCAGCATTGGTCATCGCCACTTTCCAGTCATTCTCCATCAGTTGAATCGTTGGATACGGGGTGGAAACATCCCTCTGTAAATAAAAATGGTACAGCGTTTTACAATAAATTACAAAATGTGTCACATTTTAGACAAAAGAGATTCATAGTTAATGGGAATAAGAATTCTAGTCTTGTAAAGTAAATACAATTAAATGTTAATGTCAATTGCAGTAACTCATGGTCAGTGCAGTGCTACACAGAAAAAGTGGGAAAGAAGTGATGCAATTAGCTTGGAGCTAAGTGCGCTCCAGCTTCTCATGGCTCCAAGTTATGCTTTATTGTAACCGTAGTGAAATGTGTCCTCTACATTTAACCCACGCACTGTAGGGAAATTCAGATACCTACCTCTCCCAAAGTGATGTAATGTTCAATCTTTTCTCTGAAGATTGAAGGCAACAGAATGAGTCCAGCCCTCAAGTCGATTCCTTAAATGGGGGTGGAAAAAAATTGATTAAATCGTAACAAAAGCAGATCAAATTTCATGTCTACTACCAGAATGACTTGACTACCTGGTAGGTCTTCAACCAGGGCATCATGTCTGACATCAGTGTACTGTTTTGCCACTGTTGACTTCCCCTGGGCCAGCTTAAGTATGTTTGGCAAAACACCGACAAAGCCTTCTCTGAAGCGGTCACAGAATGCCACGACTGTCGGGTGAATTCTGTCAACCTCATCTATACACTGTGGAACATAACACATAAATGACGCGTCATATTATTGCCACAATAATTTCTATGCTGCATTGTTTGATAAGAAAGTAAAAAGACACATGGTAATTTGACTCCTGGACGCCTCCCTGGTGAGGTGTTCCGGGCACGTCCCACTGGGAGGAGGCCTCAGGGAAGACCCAGGACACGCTGGAGGGACTGCGTCTCTCAGCTTGTGGGACTGCGTCTCTCAGCTTGTGGGACTGCGTCTCTCAGCTTGTGGGACTGCGTCTCTCAGCTTGTGGGACTGAGTCTCTCAGCTTGTGGGACTGAGTCTCTCAGCTTGTGGGACTGAGTCTCTCAGCTTGTGGGACTGAGTCTCTCAGCTTGTGGGACTGAGTCTCTCAGCTTGTGGGACTGAGTCTCTCAGCTTGTGGGACTGAGTCTCTCAGCTTGTGGGACTGAGTCTCTCAGCTTGTGGGACTGAGTCTCTCAGCTTGTGGGACTGAGTCTCTCAGCTTGTGGGACTGAGTCTCTCAGCTTGTGGGACTGAGTCTCTCAGCTTGTGGGACTGAGTCTCTCAGCTTGTGGGACTGCGTCTCTCAGCTTGTGGGACTGCGTCTCTCAGCTTGTGGGACTGCGTCTGTGCTGGCCTGGGAACGCCTCAGGGTTCCCCCAGATGAGCTGTGTTCCCTATCCAAGCGGTGTGCTTGGATAGGGAAGTCTGGGCGTCTCTGCTTATACTGCTGCCCCCGTGACCCGGCAACGGATGAAGCGGAAGGAGATGGATGAATGGAACCCCCGCGATAATAGAGGGACCACTGTATTGTATTATGCCAAATAACATTCAACGGTTTTGTTTCACTTACTATAGCAGGCATCTTTAAGAAGGGATATTTGGAGAGCACTTCCTCTACTGGCATGCCTTCCATGATTTCACGTCGTCTCCAGGAGAATGTTCGTGTCATGCGGTCTTTGACAGCGGCCATATCAGGTTGCATCTTCCGATACTCACTTTGTAGCACATTAACATGGGCTTCAACAGATGTACAATCCTCACCAACACCAAGTTCCTATGGCATAAACATAAAGTTATGATAATGACTGATAATTGCCATTGAAACTTTTTACGTAAATAAATGTTATGTACTTACAATTAATTGTCTTGACGGGCAAGACACATTTGAAGATCTAATGCTTTTGGACTGCTTTGTATGGCCAAACTTCTCCTTCAGCTTTCTGACCTCGGTGTCATTGACAAGTGGTGCACGTTCTGCTTTAAATTTTCGTTTCAAAGACATGTGCCAGGTATGCTAGGAAAAAATATTTTGTAATATATATTAGTTTTAAAAACATTTCATTGTTAAACTAATGGAGCAAATACAATCACATAGAATGAACTTGTTAGTGTCATTGACTCGGCATCATGCGTCTATACCCGTTAACTGCATGGTTCATTGTCGTTTAATCCTTAAAGTAACCTAAACTCATGTGTATGCTTAAATTACTTGGACTTTTCTGTTGATGAATCAACAATCTCTCTTACAATCTCTGAGACGACTGCTATTGTGATTTTGAGCGTTACAAAATATATTTAATTGAAATGAATTATGAATGCTTACATAGCCATTTCCCTCCAAGTCTCTCAGGAAAGGATATTTTACAACCAAAGCCTTGGCCACTTGAGTGTATTCCACATTGGTTGGATACCTGTCTCCAAAAGATTGAGTAATTATAAAATATATATAATAATTATTAAAATGATGTGTACTAGTGCAAAATGCTTACTTACAGAGTGTATTCTGCCATCATTTCATATAGAATTCTGACAATTTTGATGCGGATTTTGGAGACTTGGTGGCATGGTTCCCTGGCATCCAGTTTAATCTGGACATCTTTGGGGAATGTTGGTATGACGGTCACAAGAGGAAGTCTCCTATTGTGAGCCAATTCTCCGCTGGAAAGCATTTACAAAAGTAATTTATACAAAAATACATCTTATCCCTTACAGCCAGCTTGGTCAGTGTATTTTTCGTCCAGTGGTTCTTTCAAATTATAATCAAAATTTGATGCAGAAATTAAAAAAAATATATATATATTGAATGATTAAAACAAAACATCAACTATCAAACCAATTTTTTGTCTTCCCTTTTCTTTATCAACTGAACGAAAAATACACGGACCCAGCTTTTAGTGATTCACTTGCCTTGTGTCAGGAGACGGTGGACATTGGAGTGTTGTGGGGGCAGGCACTGGTTCTAATGTAATCCAGGTCTCAGCTTCTTTGTATTGGCGCACAAACTGGTGAAACTTAACTTGTTTTTTAAAGGAACCGTGAAAGAGGGAGGCAACCATGGCCTCCGTTAGTCCACAATCTACAGTTTCTCCATCAACATCATTCTCTAAAAATAAATTAATCACACACATACATGCCACACAGACACAGACAGGCAGACAAATACGCAGATTAAGTACACAATTATTTATTACGTGCACAGTGGCGTGCAAGACTATCGCAGCTCGGTTCGAGGGTCAGAAACCATTGACACTGCAGATGAGCCAAAGAGCTAGCGTTAGCTCACATGGAGTGAAAATCCTAATTTGGTTGGAATGTTCCGCGTTACGTTGGTTGTCTGTAAATATCGCTCAAATTTACAGTTGTGACTCTTTGACATCAATTGTGATCTCAAAGCGTGGTGCCATAACTACAAACCTAGCCACATTAGCGCATCTACCATTAGCCTCGTCCGGTTCACTGAGCAGGGGAAAGTTGGGGTTAGCTTAGGCCTATGAAGCGGGTCGCATTGACACTACGGATCAATGCGCCCCGTTCCAAAGGCCTCCGCATCCCGAAGCAAACGAAAGACCCACCTTGTTATGCCACCAGCATTCGGACCGCTCCTCTCCGTACCGTAAATCCAACCGTGGCTTTTCTTACTCTGCTCAGTGAGCACCATAGACTGTTTGCGAGTACACGAAGCTAATGCTAGAAGCGCTCGTGTATGGTCAAGCATTGTGTTACCGTGAAAAGGGCTCGGTCTGCGGTTATAGTGCCACGCAGTTAGAGAGCATGATTGATGTCAAAAAGTCACAATTATACATTTGCGCAATATATAAAGACCACCGATGTAACGCGGAACATGTTTGTTAAATCAAATTAAATCATACGTTAGATATTTGAACCTGAGTTAACACGTTAGTTGCTGTATTATATGTTAGTAATTCCATATAACCTAAATGTAAATTACAAACTACATAAAAAATAGCTGATTTTTGTACTAGTTAATAGTCTGGTTGCTAGCTAGCTAAATACTGAAAAGGTAGCTGGAGGCCATTACATAGTTATCAAATATTTACTCTAATGTAGAATGAGTTAATTCATAAAGAGAAAAATAACACATAACTTACCCCTGAACTTCCTTGCTTCCTCCTCGGAAACATCGATCCCTGCCTCAGATAGTTTTTGAAGTAAGTCTGTGGTAGAAAGGCAGCGTAGACCTGCACAATCCGCCATTTCGATGTTTTGCCGCCTTTTGCTGTTGCCAGGGAGGAAATCTCCCCTGACACTTGACTCCTACAGGTACAGTTTTGTACCCTTTGCTCTGACCAGTAAGACTGTACCTCTCAAATTAAATAAAGGTCCACAGTCATTCCCCTTAAGGACCATATCTGTACTTCCAAGGAACATTCCTAAAAAATGTACCTTTTGGGGACAAAATGTTACCTTTATTTTTCTGTGTGTAGGCACCCACTAGTATCTCAAAAGGGATTAAATGTCTTGGTGGAATGTATTAAATATAATATATTAAATATTGAATACATTTTAAGAATGTACATTTCAGTATATATACATTTTAAAAGTACTCCATCCAACACTGGAAATGGAAGAGTGGACTCTCACAGGGACAATGGCAGAATTGTGTATGACAAATTTCCTGTTCTTAAAGTGCAGGTCAGTTACTTTTGAAATTGTAACTGACCCCCCCACAGGTTCCTGATTAGACACAATGGATTCAAATCCTTGATGGACAGCAGGGGCCCCTCACAATTGCTCTATTCTTCTGCAGCTAATGTTACTGGGGATGGTTATTCTGAGGTGAAGGACTGTTTTAAATATATTTATAGAGAAAAATGCTTCATATAGATCAGACCTGGGTACGATAAGGCCCTCAGGACAAAAAATACGCTGCCAAGTAAATACTGCTGCAGTCCGAGGTAAAGCTGTTTAAGGAGTAAAATGTGGGTCATTATCAGACAAAGCTGAGTAATACAAAAACCTGAATGATCGTAAGTAAGTAAGTAAGTAAGTAAGCTTTATTTATATACCGCCTTTCACAGACCAGAGTCACAAAGCGGTTTACAATTGTTATTTTTTGGGCACTTGTCCTCTCACTCCACACAGAGATGGGAGCGGGGTCGCCGAACAGGAGGCGCATGCCAGACCTATTGTACATATTTTTAGTGGTAGGGGAAACCGGAGTACCCGGAGGAAACCTACGCAGACACAGGGAGAACATGCAAACTCCACTCAGAAAGGCCCTGGTCCGGCCGGGATTCGAACCCAGGACCTTCTTGCTGAGAGGCAAGAGTGCTATCCACTCAGCCACCGTGCCGCCCAAAATCGTGACGTAGCGTGTACATCGAGCCTTGCAAAAGTAACAAGATTTTCATTAACCGTTTGATATCAAAAATCTGGATCCTTACACAAACGCTATAAACAAAAAAACATTCACAGAGGGTGAGTTTGATCTGCGGTGTTTGGTGGACTCTGCTGCTTTAATATGCCCTGAAAAGGAACATTTGAGCAAGTCCCGCTGTCCAGGTGAACTTTGTAGTGAAAGAAGTCTATTTTCAGTATCTATTTGACAATTCAATATAATATGAAAAAATGGAACAAGACAATAATGTGGTTTCCTTATGCTACATTCACTGAGCATGTTCTCTAATGAAAGCCAAAAAATTATATTTGTACAAAACAAGAAATCACTTTTTCATTGTTTGATAACAATCCAACCCACCCAAGAAAATATTCATATTTTTGCCCTAATTTTCTCTTTCTCATGCGGCCTCTCGGAAAAACCCTGATATACTGTAGATGGTCATTATATATATATATATATATATATATATATATATATATATATATATATATATATATATATATATATATATATATATATATAGATGATGTTGGGCGCAGAGGATTTTACCTAGTGTGCATGTTTTTAGTGGTGAGGGAAACCGGAGCACCCAGGGGAAACCTACACAGGTACTGGGAGAACAGGTATACTCAGAAAGATCCTGTTCTGACCGGTATCAAACCCAGGACCTTCTTGCTGAGAAGTTTGAGTGTTATCCACTCAGCCACCGTGCCGCCCAAAATGCAATTGAAGTTGCAGATGTCACCTTCAGATAAAAAAAGCAGAATAGCAGACAAAATAGCAAAGATTTGATGTAAATTGAATGAAGCAATCACTTGGACAAAGTCAACCCCCCTTACCCATCAAACACAGACCATTCTTTAACATGTTTCAAAACCAAAATAATTATCAATTTTAAGCTCCCTCATTCACCATGGACTGATCTTTTGAAGAACAACTTCTATCTAACTATATTTTGTCTTTTTTGTGCTGAAACTGCAATAGTGCATAATATTCCAGAGAAGGACAATCATGTGAATGATTCCATGAAAGAGATAATTCCGAAAAACTTTTCAGGGAAAGTGTGTGTCTATGCGTTTCCCTTAGAATAATTCAAAACAGAAACATTTGAGCTCAGGAAATGTAATTAACACATTAACCGCCCACTGGTTTCCTCCCAGACTTTTTGTTTCTTTTCATGTTGGCTAATTTGTATGCCTGTGCACCCACACTTTGTCACAACCAGTCAAGAGATAAATAATTTACAGTAGTTTTACCTTGAGCTTGTCGCCTGATCCTTTTTCACTTTTCAATCAAAATGCCACTGTGACAGATGCGTTTGACAATACAAGGCCATTATTCATCATACCACAGTCTGCATTGCAACGCTGCTTTCATACACCCTGAAAGCTTTTCAACAGCAAGTGGAAAAAAGTGCCGGTGCTGTGAAAGAACGTCAGACTGAACATTGGTCCACAAGGTTCAATTCCAGTGGTGAAACTATGAACTCTGTCATGAAATCTCTACTTTTACCGACACCGCATTATATTAAAGTGACAGGACAATTATTGCAAGTAAAAAGTACAGCTTGTTATTTACTTGTACCATACAATAGAGCAAAGGATATTGCAGTAATATGCCTCAGTATACAGAAACAAACGTACTTATTTTATGTAGAAAGTGCATTGTATTGCAATGTTGGTTGACATTTGCTTTCCAGAAAATGCATTTAGTGTACTTTTTGGACTATTCAGCTTCACAAAGAACATTTTGAAATAAAGGAGATTGTTTTAAAGTCTTTAAATCTTTTGAATTTGCTGTAAATGTCCGCAAGTCATAAGTTGTTGTTTTGTGTTTTACAATCGTTATTATTCTTGCACTTTTCTAGCTGTAAATGTTACTGCATGTTACTCTGTTCACACACTGATCCCATCCCAGAGTAGAGAGGATGCACGGTCCGAACCAAGCAGATCAAGCGTAAATCCACCAGAGAAATGCTATCTCCGAATCTCAGACTCTGCATACATCAACCTTAGCATAGGAAGCAGCTCATTATCAACAACTGTTCCACCTCGGCTGCTGTGACCTGTCCTGCTCCAGCCAATGGCTACTCCACCTCTGCTGCTGTGACCTAAAGTGCTGTTACACTACACATCAGTGCTGTTGGTTACATCTGCAGGATAATAACGGCGGTTTTGGCCCTGAGTCTATTGTTTCAAGAATCTGAAGGATGGCTGATCATCATCAGAAAGTATCGCGGCCATGTGTGGTGTGTTTTGACTGTTCTCGCTCGCTCTGAAGGACGTCGGGTCAATTTCCATCTAAAATCTGGGACATTTCACGTGTCTGTATAGGATTGTCAAGATGACGAGTTGTCAATCAGGAGCATTTCATACTGTAAAAGGTCCGTGTTTGCATCGTCCCCTCTGCTTTTGACCTTGAGTTAAAAACAAACTAAAAACCTTCATCACATGTTGTTTGGTTGACTCAGATATTGTGCTTATTCTAGAGAGGTTTTGTGAGATTTCCAACCTGGCAATGTTCATGGCAAATTGACTCATGTGCTGCACGCTCGCGCACATGCACACACACACACACGCACACACACACACACACGCACACACACACACACACACACACACGCACGCACGCACACGCACACACACAGTAGACCAGAACTGGTAAACCCATGATTTTCACTTGGTCGGTGAAATTTGATTTATAAATAAAGATGCCTTACTTACTTTAATATCCACTGAATTCGACCTACAGTATGCTGTGTCTAGTGTAGGGGTTTCCCTTCCAAATAACTAATTTTGGACGGGGCCAAATTTTAAATCATAAGAGCTGGTTGGGGCCAGAAGTATAAAAATGTTTTATTTTTATTTTATTTTATGTTAACTGTATTTGACATGAGTTTGGATGTTATTTTCTATAGGTTTGGATTCAACCACAACTGGGGAAAATAACAATAGGAGATTTATTGGAAGACTGATAGTAAAAATAATAATAATAAATAAGTAACTATGACATTTGTGTAAACATGTTAGAACAGATGCATGTTTCTTGAGACAATAGGTATTAAACTGAAGCACAACATGCCATAGTAGGCCTTTACCATCAATGCTGCAAGTTACTACGATAAAGATAATTGAAAATAATTTCAGGGGCCTGAGTTTGACATGCCTGGTCTAGTGCAACCTGTAGCAGTGCAGAAATAAGTCAACTGTATCGAATCACATTAGAAGGAGTGAAAGTGAGTGAAGACATATCCATGGGAGAAACTGTATAATACCAGTCTTATCACGTAATATCAGCTGCATCCTTTCATATGACCTGTGTCTGTGTGTGTTTGCCTTCTGTGACATTTATCGTAGCAAAAATAGTTCCCTGTAGAATACATAGCTTGTGCCAACAGAGAGAACACTGAACTTTATGCTATGTTTTGGTTTCATGTGGGCAGTCCTTGTAAAAACAGAGACGTGAATGCCACTGCCTTTTATGGAATTTCACTCAGCCCTCAGAGAATTCCTATGTGCAGGTATGTTGTTGATATTACCTTTCCACGGATGAGGAGGTTTTCAATACAGCACAACTTTACAGCAGTTATTTGTGTTTTCTGGAGTCGTGTGCGGTCCTCCTTCAGGGGACGAGACGGCAATAGTGTGTTAAATTGGCCAAATCTTAGCAAATAGAGGGCAGCGGTTAGAGGTCCAGAGAGGCCAGCTGTCATACACAAGTGTGCAGAGAAAAAGCAAGCGCAGATCAATGGCCATAACTGCTCAATAACAGGGCGACTATGAAGAAAATATGAGAGGTAAGAGTTGAGGGTCAGAGGAAAGCCATTTTGGAGACTCTTAAGCTTACATAAATTGAGTTTAGCAGGGAAACAGTCTGAATGTGCACTTTATTTGATTGATAACAATGGTGTGACTCTGACATGAAGATTCGGCTTCATACATTGCTCAAAAATCTATAACGATACTCCATAAAGCTGGAGTACCTAACTTTGTAACTATTTTAATTTCACTACTCATATTTTGCAGCTTTACATCGATTTGGATCTCTTACTGGTTTTTCACATACATGTATTTTTCCTCTATCCTCTTGCCTGTATCACTGCTTTTCAGACAGCATAGTGAAAGAGTTCCCTTTTTCATAGGGCTCTTTCTTACACAGATGTAAAACATGCTCTCTGACAGCATGTTGGGTCTGATTGTTTACAAGCTTTTACTTTGTCGCCACACCTGCATGCGAAAGCCAGATCCTAAGCCAGCTAAGCAGGGCAGGACCTGGTTGATGGTAGACCTCTGGGAACACCAGGTGCTACAGTGGGGTGGCTGCAGCCATAAAGTTCCAAACTGTTGTTGTGTCCTTAGGCAAGGCACTTTACTTATTTTGCCTAGAATGAGTCTGGTGTTTGCACGGATGGTTGGAGGGGTTGATAGGTACTGGTCAGGGACGTGCAGTCAGGGGAGGCAGGGGAGGCAGAGCCTCACCTGCCATTATTGGAAACTAATAATTATTTTAGTTTAAATATATAATTTATATCCACTGTCCTATGCTTTTAATGTATATTCGGCACGGTTCCCATCAGTTTTGATCATTTCTGAAGTCAAAATCGCCGAAATCCCGTTATTCCTATTCAAAGAGACGAGGTGAGGCAGCGCTCCTGCGTGCCTCACCCCAGACCGCTCCCTCACAGTGTGTGTGTGTGTGTCTGAGTGCACTCAGCTCGTGCAGTTGATATATCACCGTTTGTTTCAAATATCCTGCTTTAAAAACATTTTTTAAACTCCTCTTAGTGTTTAGTAGTGTATTGCACGTATGTGTGTACAATTTATATTTAGTTTAAGTCTTTTGATCGTAGATGAACACACAAGGAAAAAGCTTGGCGTGAGGCAGGCGGTATCTGTGCCTCACCGCTAGGGGTGATAGTGAGCATAAAGTTCATACCAGAGTTGCTAACAAACAATCAGCCCAAAATGCTATTTCTTTTGCTGGAAAATGGATGATTTGAATGAAGATTTTTTTTCTCAATTGGACTTTCAAACAAAGAAAGAATTAATATAGACTGGGAGACCACCACTGGACTTACGAGGTTAGTCCGGCTGCGGGGGAGGAGTTTGTTAATCTGTGTTTTATGTTGAACATTGACAGATACCGGCAAAGTAGTGCTTTTCCGAAAAACACTGATTCAAACACTGCTCAAGAGTTCTGCAACTTGTTTAAATTATTGTTTATGTTCCTCGCGTCTCTCTCTCCTCGCGTCTCTCTCTCCTCGCGTCTCCGTCTCTCTCTGCTCCTCGCGTCTCCGTCTCTCTGCTCCTCTCTGTCTCTCTCTGCTCCTCTCTCCTCGCGTCTCTCTCTCCTCGCGTCTCTCGCACCTGCGCTTCTTAAAGATGTTGTTTGATGCGGAGCAGAGTCAGCAGCTAGATTTGTTGTGAGATTATTAAAAGAAGCTGGTTCTCTTATCTTTACAGTATATAAAGTTTGTGGATGTCATTGCATTGGTGATTAAATGCTATTTTATTTGAATAATGATTGTAAATCTGACTTTTAAAGTCAGTGCCTCCCCAATCACAAACCTCACCGCACGTCCCTGGTACTGGTTGTCTCATTTGTCAGTCCGCCAAAAGGGCAGCTGTGGCTACTGTAGCAGTTTATAACCACAGTGTATGAAGTGAATGAATAATGCCACGTGTAGTCTTTGAGTGTCCAGAAAAGTACTTTTACTTTTACAAACAAAACAAATTATTCGTAAGGAAAAAAGTTGGGTACCCCAGCATTAACTTTCTAATTTCTTAGCATCATATGTCCTGGTGACATGTAACTATTTTGTGCGGTAAACACGAGAACCCCTCCCAGTGAAATGTACATCGATATCCTAATTTATGCTCTGTTTCACACCGTCACATTCATACTTCCAAGTACGCGTCAGTTAGGGGATTAACCAAACCCCAAATAAAACACCCCCTGCAATTTCTAGATCAAATTTTTGAAAACGTTCCAGGATACATGGCGAAAAAACAGTTCACTTATTTATTCTGCAGTTTGTAAAAAAGTTATGCTCATACTGTCGCGCTGTAACTCAAATGTTACAAACTTGCCTCAAACTAATGAAGCATAAATGAGCCCATAACTAATGGGTAACAAGTGGTCTTCAGATAATAACATGCAAGGCTTGAGAAAAAAGTTTCTTACGCCCACTGAGCAGATGCCACTATCCCCAAGTCACTCCAGCCTCTGTTACTACGAGCTTGTTTTAATTTTCACTGTGGCACTGGTCCCCCTGATTTACTTATAGGAGCTCAGGAACGTGGTATCCTAGCAACAGAAGACGATATCCCCACTCCGTTAGTCACACAATGCCACAGTGTTTATGTACAGCGATAGTTTCCTGACGTCTATGCACAGTGAAGGTTGTAATGCAGAGCTATGTGTCACTGATTCATTGGCGTTTGGCAGAAAGCGGTTGATATGGCACCCCACAGAATCCTCAGTAATGCAGTTAAACACATGCAAGTTCAGTCAATAATGTTTACACTCAACTGGCGTTTCCAATCCAACAATGAAGTGGTGGTGGAAGAAAGCCCACTGCACATTTATAAAGCGTTGCAACATTCCCAAATCCACCGGGCAAGGATCTGAAAATCTAATTTGAAACAACTGGATCTAATAACGTAGAAGAATGAGTGGAAGGTATCCAGCAGCCCCTGTGAGAAATGTGTGCTTTTCGGTGGGCCTAATTTGATTACCCATCTACCCCTAAAAACCCCTGTAGGTTTCAAAGAACGCCTTGCTTTTACTGAAAACATGCCTTCAACATAATTAAGATGAATGGGTATAGAAAAACGCCAGTTTGTGCATAAGCAGTTGCAAGTAAGCTATACGGTTAGATGGCTAATTAAACTAGACATGCTCTTTGGTGAAGATTCCATACTCCAACATATAGAGTAAAAATGCAAACATTATAATTATGCAGACAATTTTGTCAATGTATATGGGCGTGGTGGTGCAGTGGTTGATAAGATAAGATAAGATTGCTTTATTTATCTCACAGAGGAGAAATTTACATGTCACATTTGGCATGGATAGAGACACTCAGATTGTGCAAAGGGAGGAAATGTGCAAACATGTTACATGCAGTATATATGTACAATAAAGTGACAATAATTGTGTACAACAAAAGTGACACGTGTCAATTGGAAACAGTGTCAATAGTAGTGCAGGTTTTCACACAGTGATCATTTAAAGTGACTTATTGTACAGTCTGACAGCGGTGGGGATAAAGGCCCTGCGGTAGCGCTCCTTCCTACACTGAGGGTGCCTCAGTCTTCCACTGAAGGAGCTCCTCAGCTCCTCTACAGTCCTGTGCAGTGGGTGAGAGGTATTATTCATGATGGAGGTGGCTTTGGCTAGCACCCTCCTGTCCCTCACCTCCTCCACAGAGTCCAGGGAGCAGCCCAGAGTGGAGCTGGCCCTCCTGACCAGCTTGTTCAGTCTGTTTCTGTCCCGCTCTGTGCTGCCCGGGGCCCAGCACACGGCAGCGTAGTAAATGGCAGAAGCTACCACAGAGTCATAAAAAGTCCTGAGCAGAGGCCTGCTCACTCCGAAGGACCTCAGCCTCCTCAGAAGGAAGAGGCGACTTTGGCCCTTCTTGTGCAGGGCGTTTGTATTATGGGACCAGTCCAGTTTATTGTTAATGTGAACACCCAGGTACTTGAAGCTGTCCACCAGCTCAATGTCCTCCCCCTGGATGTTCAGCAGCGTGTGGGAAAGTGGTTTTCTCCTGAAGTCGATGACCATCTCCTTGGTCTTACTGGTGTTCAAGCACAAGTGGTTGCGCTCACACCAGTCGACAAAGTCCTTGATAACCGACCGATATTCCAGTTCGTTCCCCTCAGACACACAGCCCACGATGGCGGAGTCGTCGGAGAACTTCTGAAGGTGACAGCTGTGTGTGTCGTGTGTGAAGTCTGAGGTGTAGATGGTGAAGAGAAACGGTGAGAGGACAGTGCCCTGAGGGGCCCCAGTGCTGCAGACGACCACCTCAGACTCACAGCTGCGCAGCCGCACGTACTGTGGTCGGTCTGAGAGGTAGTTGATGGTCCATGCAGTGAGGCTACTGTCCACTCCCGCGTCCTCCATCTTCCCCCGCAGCAGTGCCGGCCTGATGGTATTGAAAGCGCTGGAGAAGTCGAAAAACATGACCCTCACAGCGCTCCCGGCGGGCTCCAGGTGGGAGAGCGTCCGCTGCAGGAAGTAGATGACGGCGTCCTCTACTCCGATGTTGGGTCTGTAGGCGAACTGCAGCGGGTCCAGGGTGGGGCTGACCACGGAGCGGAGATGGGTGAGGATGAGCCGCTCCATTGTCTTCATCAGGTGGGAGGTCAGTGCGACTGGTCTGTAGTGAGCCGGTTCCTTGGCGTGTGCTGTTTTTGGAACCGGGATCACACAGGAGGTCTTCCACAGGACAGGGACCTTCTCCAGGCTGAGGCTCAGGTTGTACATGTAGCTGAGGACCCCAGAGAGCTGGTCTGCACAGGTCCTCAGCAGCCTGGGACTGATCCCGTCCGGTCCTGCGGATTTCCTCAGCTTCAGGCGCTGGAGCTGACTCCTCACCTGGTCCGGTGTGATGGAGAGGGGGGGGGACTAGGGTGTACTGTCCGAGGTGGGGGCTGGGGATGCGGGGGCAGGAGGGCCCGGGGCAGCCGGAGGCAGTGTCCACTGGGCGGTGTCCACTGGGCTGGGGACGTGTGAAGAGGTGGGGGCGGGAGGGGGGGCAGATGGAGAGGGGGGAGAATCAAACCGGTTGAAGTGCTGGTTAAATTCGTCCGCCCGGTGCTGGTCTCCATCTGCTGTTCCTCTAGCACTCTGTCCAAAGCCGGAGATGTTCTTTAGGCCTCTCCACACGTCGCGGGCGTTTCCCTGGGCCAGCTTCTGCTCCAGCTTTTTCCCGTAGTCCTTCTTGGCCCTCCTGATCCTCCACTGGAGCTCGTGCTGGATCCTCTTCTGCTCCTCCCTGTCCCCTGAGATGAAAGCCCTTTTCTTGAGGTTCAGGAGGGCTTTAAGCTCAGGGGTCACCCATGGGTGGTTGTTAGAAAAGCACCGCACCTTCTTAGTTGGTACAGTGTTATCCACACAGAAGAGAATGTAGTCTGTAATGCAGTGTGTCAGGCTCTCGATGTCCTCACCATGAGAGCTGCAGATCATTTCCCAATCAGTGTTTTGAAAACAATCTCTCAGCATCTCATCCACATCATCGCTCCACACTTTTACAATCCTCTTCTGCGCTGGATTTCTTCTCACCACTGGTGTGTATTCCGGAGACAGACGGACCTGGCTGTGATCAGAGCGTCCGAGAGGGGGGAGGGGGGAGGAGGTGTATGCGTCCCGGACATTAACATACAGTAGGTCCAGAGTCTTATTGCCACGAGTTGGGCACGTGACATACTGTTTGAATTTCGGGAGAGTGGCGGAGAGGGAGGCGTGGTTAAAGTCTCCGCTGATCAGAATCAGAGCGCGGGGACTGCGGGTCTGGATCTGGGTCACAGTTCTGTGCATCTCCTCACATGCTGTGGCTGCGTCTGCTGACGGGGGGATGTAGACACATAGAACCACGGTGTGTGAAAACTCCCGCGGCAGATACCTGGGTCTCATGCTCACAGCGAGCAGCTCCAGGTCCCGTGTGCATGTACGCTGGACCACATGCACGTGCGTCGGGATGCACCACTGCTCGTTCACGTAGATCGCAACACCCCCGCCTTTGCTCTTCCCACTCCCCTCCGCGCAGCGGTCCGCTCGCACAAGTTTAAATCCCTCCAGCGCGACCACAGAGTCCGGTATATTCCCACACAGCCACGTCTCAGAGAAACACATAAGTCCACATTGTCTGTACTCTTTATGATGGCGGACCAGTGCGGTCAGCTCCTCAGTCTTATTAGAGATGGACCGTACGTTCCCCATGATGATGGAGGGGAGATACGGTCTCCTCTTTCTCTTTTGGCCTCCTCTGGAGCCCCTGCGTCTCCTACGGATCTCCAAGGGGATCACCGGCTTCTCTGGGTGCCGGAAAGCGGAGTCTCTAAGTCCGAGAAGCTGCTCCCGTGTGTAAACAATGGGACACGCTGGTCTCGTGGCTCTGTGAGCGGAGAACTCCGAAAAAAGTGCCGAAGTCATGTTAATCCAGTGCAAAGGTCCACGAGGCTAGGCTTCCCGTGTGCACAATGCACAAATAAACGCTTGTCTACGAAAATAAAAAATAAAAAAACACATCTACAAGAAATAAATAGAGAAAGGGTCGGAAAGAGAAGAGAGCCAAAGTGACGAGCTGCACAGCGGGAGCTGGCGCCGGAAGCTTAATGGCACTTAAGCTTCACAGCAAGAAGGTCCAGAGTTCCACCTCCAGACAGGGCCTTTCTGTGTGGAGTTTGCACGGTCCTCACTAACAGCTTGTACAATAGTTCAGAGTGAATGAGTGTGTGTTTGTGAGTGTGCGACTGTGGGAGAGCATATGCTGTTCATTACTACACACTGTCTCAACCAAATAAACAAATACATAACTATAAATGTGGGGGCCTTTTGTTGATTTGTATGACAGTGTATGTAGCTTCCCTGGAGTTCCCATTCACAAAACACCAACAAACTTTACAAATAGAATGTGTAAGACTTGTATGACTATGAAGTTTTCTAAATAAATAGTTCAATTGAATCGATAAGTGTAAAATCCTCTACCCCAGAGTGTGAGCAAAACCTGGTTCATTTTCTGTGATATACATACTATTGCTTTGCTAATGCAACTGAAAAGATATGTTAAAACTGAAGTCTTTCATTTAATTTTTATTCAATTTATTTTTTGTATACAGCCCCAAATCAACAGTAGTTATCTCAGAGGCCTTTACAAAACAGTTCCATTCGCCAACACAGATCAGAGAATCAAACACTTCAAGCACAAGAAATACAGTGATAAAAAAACACATAAAGCTAGAAGGGGCAGAACCTTTATCTACATTTTTCTCTTGCACTACACAGTCTGTTATACATAATATCCATTGTTTGATGTATTGTCTTCCAATTATAACATCTGAGTTCATTTGAAAAATCTGTTGTCAATCAATCAAGATGTTTATTTCAAAACCTGCAACCAGAGCATAATAATAGACATTGAAAAGAGGTTGGATTAAGCAACCACCACCCACAACAATTCAACACAGAGACATGTCCATTCTACAGCGTTTTTTTGTCCACCTGCTATTAGTGATTCTTTCTTGTAACATTTGTGTTAAACTGGTCAAAACGATTGAAATCTGCAGCATTTAACATGTTAAAATCTGAGTTGTATAATGTGAAAGGGTTTTATTGGCAAGTTTTGTGAATTGTGCTCACATGGAAAATTGGACTTCACTATTTCAAGATGAAGCCCCCGCTGAAAGATCAAGGCTGTCTTCACAACTGACAGAGCAGCCATCTTCCTGTGGACTCACCCCCTGCAGAAGATCAGCGAGGGACTGGTGCTATGAGCATTGGGTGGCAGCTCTCATTGCCACCCCCCCGACCCAGAAATGGATTAATAAAGGGGTTGAAAATGAAATGAAATGAAATATTTCAAGATGAAGTAGGTGTAAAGAAAGCCAGCTATTTCAAAGTGGGTTGACCATTACTTCACCGCCTGCAGACATGCCTCCCTCCTCGCCTCTCTAATGAAAAGAAAACACCACTGACAAGTTCTTGCAAAAGGTGGTCTTCTTTGTGCAAAGTTTGAATTCAGTGTTTTGTAGCAACATGCTTTTGAACTGGCATCAGGACGTTGCAGTCAATATTGCCGGTATCAGTTGCCTGAGATGTGAAAACGTCCAGAAATACATTTTCTCTGTTCGACACAAATACAATACAAAACATATTCCTAAGACATCCTTTACAATTTAATGAAAAGCGAAACTACAATCTTGCAATTTCACATAACCTAACCAATCTTCCATTTAGAATTTTGCCTGGAGACTTTCTGCACATGCAAACACTGCGTGGATAGATCAAAGTTGCACCGTTCCTCCTTTTTAAGATGGCTTCCTGATAAAGAGCAGCAGAAAAAAAACAGCTTGCGGCCTTCTCGACATTGCTCGGGACCAATCATCTCTTCCCATCTCCCTTCGTCAACGCTCGTGTCCCCAACTCCGAATTTGTCCGCATAATTGAAACTGCGTGCTGCAATGTGATTTGTGATAAGCCTAATCCTCACACTATTTAATCTCTCTGATAGACGGATCACAAGTCCGATGGCTTCGATAACGGCCTGCTTACACAAGAAGTCCCCCTCCATATAAAGACATCCAAGCCGGCGTTTAAAGCATCGTGCGACATACCTTGTCTGGCAAACATCTGTTCTTGTTACATTGCAAAGAAGTTATATTGATTTGTGCTTGGGCCACATTGTAATTTACGCCAAAGCAGAAAATCCAAAGACTATGTGGACTTTATTTCACAAAGAATCATCGGCAACAGTTAATGCCCGTGTCTCCTTTCCCCTCTTAAATCTTGAAGAATGGACGCTGCAAAGGGAATTTCAATGGGACCCTACTCCTCTACAGTCCAGTCAGCATGGCTCCAAGCAGTGTGTGATTTAAGAGGGATTGTGCTGAAGCCAAATTGGCCGCAAATGGGTAGGGGGTCCACGGCCTCATAGCCTCCCGAGCTTATATGTATGGATTATCCCGGCTAAGAGCGTCATAAATTACACATGGGAGCTTTCTTATACTTTGACCCAGCGCCCCAGCCCGCTGTAATGGGATAGCTTTGGGGAGATGCTGGTTTCAATTAGGGGCTGCAGGTCGTGTGATATTATTCCACACACACACAATGCATAATTGAGTTCTAAACAGGAGCGGTGCATACAAGCAAGCCGTCTCATTTGGGATATGTGTGGTCCTGAGATTGGTTTCACATCTTAGTAATGATTTTGTGCCGCAAAAAGACACTTCACAATTAAAATAATCAATTATAGATGTACTTTTATTTGCTGATGAACAAGATGCATCATCAAGAGATTTCTCGTCCACAGTAAGTTATTGTGCACAGTGTTGTAGTGGAGCATCATCTGTACAATTACAACAAGCTGGATACAGGCAGAGGAAAAAAGGATGTGATTCTCTCTGTAACTGCCTTATGTTGTCATTATGGTGTAAAATATTGGTAACATTTTATACTAATGGTACATGAGTTCATGCATGATTCTCATGAACTAATGCATGAATTAATGCATTAGTTCATGATACATTCATGCATTACTATATCATGAATTATCATGAACTAACATGATTACATGTTGGTTCATGGATGACTTCATCCATGAATTAATGGTTGAACTACTGTAATGAATTTACATGAAAATCTTAAAGAATCATCATGATCATGATGATACCATGAATTTACTGAAATGACCAAAAAAATCATCAACCTATCATGATCCTCATGATCATGCATGAACATCATGAGTCATATGGCAGAAATCTACTTGCAAATTATGACGACACAATCATGACCTTATCATTAGCTAATGCTTAATACATCATGATTTCATTATGTTTTCTAATGGTTAATGCACCATGATTTATGGGTTTATGATTTCCGCCATATGACTCATGATGTTCATGCATGATCAGGGTAATTTCTTTGCTTTTTCTATAAATTCATGGTTTCATCATGATCATGATGATTCTTTAACATTTTCATGTAAATTCATTACAGTAGTTCAACCAATAATTCATGGATGAAGTCATCCATGAACCAACATGTAATCATGTTAGTTCATGAGAACTCATGATCTAGTAATGCTTGAATGTATCATGAACTAATACATTCATTCATGAATTAGTTCATGAGAATCATGCATGAACTCATGTACCATTAATATAAAGTGTTACCAAAATATCCATGATTAAAGTGAATTACTTATTGTGCATTTGGCCAAAACTAAAGACAAAATCTTGATCCCAATTGATGCATGATATTTTATTTGATACACCAATATTAATATTGACCAAAATACTATATTTAGGATCATTTCCAGGTGAACACAGTTTGTGTCCATAGGCAAAACAATTCACCCACATTAGTCAAATATGAGAGTGAATGATTGGTGGTGGTTGGAGGAGCCAAGGCATACACTGCTTGCTTCGCCTCTGTCAGTTTGCTCTAAGGCAGCTGTGGCTACAGTTGTTGTTTATCACCACTATGAATGGTATGAAAAAAAAAAAAAAAACATTATTTTTCATCAAAATAATATGTATTCAAATAATGATATGAAAATATATTATTATTATTATTATTACATATAGGTTTATTGAAATAACATAATTCTTTCACATACTCAAAAGATGGAACAAGATAGTAACCTAACCGTGCTAAAGTAAGTGTGACAGGAGTATCAGGAGATAGCGGCTGTGGATATCAGTAAATGGAGGTTGCATTTTAATCACAGCCTGGATATTGCGTGTGCAGTGGCATGCAGCCCAATCCGACAAACATAAATCTTATCTTGGAGTTGAGGAGGCAGGACTGGCCATCCGTGTTCTTGCAGTCTATTGACGACAGGCTGTAGTAACTGCTTAGACTTTTTCATCCTCTCCGAGTCTCTATATCAGGAAGCAGTTGTTTCCTCAAATTCTCCTCAGTTTAATGTGCAAGAAGACAAATGGCTTTCTCACTGCCTGCTTTGCAAACTTGTGGAAACAATAGTATTTGCCAAAGTAGTATGCATGAGAGCTTGCACATAAGTTTGGGATTCTGGTTTCTCAGCAGTGTTACATGATAATGGATTATCGAGTTGGATTGATTTTGTAAACTGTGACCTTACACTGCTTGCCTATTTTTTTCACACACAAAAAATCTAAAATGCTGAACAAAACAAGAAAATAAACATTTAATTCTCACAAGGCAAATAATCCCAGTGCATTGAAAATAAATTGTAATTGTTTATATTATGTAGGTGGGACTGAACCAAAACAGGACCTAGAAGGATTTGCGCGTACATGGTTAAAGTGGAAGAGAATGGATGGATGGATAACTGGGTTGTGAGGCGCTTTGCGTTGCCTTGTGTAGGAAAGGCGCTCTATAAATAAACGTTGATTGATTGATTGATTGATAACTGCCTGTTAAGATTGTGCTTTTGCTATTGTGACTTGTTGCTATGTTAGCACGTTGTTGTCATGACATTGAAGATTCGGCAATTGAGACAAAATGTGTGGTCTTGGTCAAGGATTTCCTTGTTTGTAATTCAACAGACTGAGCATCTGCCAAACACACTTCTTGAAGCGTACTGTTTATTTAGTCTCATTCTTGTGACAAGTTTAACTCAAACAATTACACAAAATGTCTGAATGTTTTGTCATGCTGTATATGTTATTCATATACAGCACTTGCTGGTCTATTAAGTCCACCTGGATATGAAGCACACAGCTATATTTTAAAGGAATGGTACATTTTGTCCACATATAGGCTGCGCTTGAGTATTATTTGCAGGTTTTCATGTTTCACTAAACCAATGAAGTCAAACAAAAGGCCCCCAAATGTGGCCCTATGAGACCCTTTTTGTGGCCCCCATCCATCCATCTATTGTCTTCCCCTTAACCCATTAAGGCCTGACACACCTGGTGAAACATACCTGTAAAACCTGAGGCCGACTTTATAACCACCCTCTAAAACCTGAAGTTTTCCTGAGATTCAACGTCTTTGAAAATATTGATATCTCAGCCTCTGGAGCAGATAGCAAAATAATTTCAAAAGAATTTGAGAGCTGACACTTGTGCAATGCCTTCACTTGTCTGATATCTTTCCAAAGTCATGGTGTGGAGGGCATGTGGTGGTTTTGGTTCTAGACGGTCCTGCAGATGGAGAAGGAGGAAGAGAAGATAGAGAGGAAGGTGGGAGAGAAGATGGAGAATGAGAAGGAGAAGAAGAAGAGGAGTAATAGGAACAGTCCTTGCTGTCTGTGTGATGAGCTCCTCTGACAGGTCCTAAAGCCAGTTCTTGTACCCGCTGTACTTGTTGTTGAAGGCAGTTTGTTACGGCACAAAAGGGTAACCCAAAAAGTAACTCTAGCGAAAAAATTGAAAATAACACATTTATTTGGGCGTGTGAGGCAAAGCAGGGAGCAGAATCATAGACAGGGGTGTGACACAGTTCCTCCAACAGACCTTGCAACAACGTATGCATTGTGGCAGCACACAGCCAATAAGAAAAAAAACACCCTCCTCCACCACTTCTTCGAGCGATGCTGGAATCCATAGTAGCCACCAATTACACAAGTGTGAATTAGCTTTTGATACAAAACAAGTGGTTGTGTGTCCATAAAATAAATCCGTCTAACACAACTTTCATATGCTCCTGGTAGTCCGCGAGGCAACTTGGCACGGTCACCAGGGATTGCCCGGCTCCCTCCCTCCTTTGATTCACTGTCCCCGTCTCAGTAGGATCGTGATATTTGGAGAGCACCTTGACGGTCTTCGTGTCCTGCCAAATGCAGAAGGTGAGGTCTTCCTTCTGAGCCACTTTGAACTCATGTCTTCCTAATGACGCTCTCAAAATATCATTTTTAGGGAGACCCCTGTGGTTAGCACGAATAGTACCTCAAGCGTTCAAACCATGGCTCTTCATCTTCTCCAGCAGCTCTACCCCAGTGTAAAAATTGTCCATGTAATTGGACAGGAAAGAGCTACAATAGGGTCTGGCTAGATCCATGACCACACGACGTGCAAGGCCCTTCTCGTGTTTCACTTCATGGCCGCAATACACCTGGACGTTGGTCACATATCCCGTGGAACTCTCCGCCATGACCCACACCTTGATACCCCACTTGGTCGGCTTCATGGGGAGGTGCTGCCTGACTGAGAGACGCCCTTTGAACTTGATCATACTCTCATCCACAGACACAGTGCCATTCACTTCATACAGTGTCTGGAATCGAGAAGTGAGATAATTCAGAAACCATCGCATTTTCCAGAGCTTGTCCTGCCTATTGATGTCTGCTGCGTGGTTATTCTGGAGGTGTAGATATCTGAAAATATTGAAATAGGCATGTAAATTACCTTCAATATAAGCATAATATAAAACATTGTCATGTGTTGTTACTTTGTGACATTCCATAATATTCTTTAGCTAGCGGCGACAGTAGCTCAGTTGGTAGAGCACTGGTCTTTGGTCCAAATCGTCACGGTTTCGAGCCCACCACGACCCATACCAAATGCTCCCACTGATGTCTGCTGACGTTGTGTCCCTGGGAAAGACACTTAACCCCACATTGCCCGTAGCCCCCGCTGAAAGACCAAGGCCATCCCGTCAATGACGGTGAAGCCATCTTCCCGTGGACTCACCACCTGCAGGAGGATCAGTGAGGGACTGGTGCTATGAGACTTGGGTGGCAGCTCTGATTGCCACCCCCCCGACCCAGAAATGGACTGATAAAGGGGTAGAAAATGACATGACATGGCATATTGTTAGCTGTTTACACCTGTATGATGACTGAAAAAAGTATGCACCCAGTCAGTATGCTCTGGCTGGGTGCAGTCAGAGCTGCACCCAGTACACAGAGCACCAGCCCCTCACTGATCCTCCTGCAGATGGTGAGTCCACAGGAGGACGACTGCTCTAGTCTGAGCTGCCTTGATTTTTCAGGGCTTCAGGCAAAGTGGGGTTAAGTGTCGTTGTGCCCAAGGACACAACGCAGCTGACATCAGTGGGAGTCATGAAGTAGCCACTGTCGCTTAAAGATAAGCTATAAAGAAACGTTTTCCAGAATTTTACATTTTGCTCTCCACCAAAATTAGTTTGATACCTATACCTGCACTAAACCAACAGCTGATGGAGCAAAACAAAGCCAATAGATGGCTGTCGCACCTGAACACAACATGATTTACTGACGAGGTGTTTTAACTGTTGACAATGAACTCTTGGGGAGGCCATTGTTTGCTTCTACGTCACAACTCATTTACCAAACAATATTGACAACAAACATGTATCCTATAGCTACTAAACCTGGATGGAGTGAAAATAATATGGGAAAAACCCTTTACTCATAACAGTCCTAATAACATTTGTTGCGGTCCTCTCTGCTATTCACATAAATATAAAACACAGCAGATGTGCGCAACAATGGCCATATCGCTACATACAACAACATACAAAAAACACATCGCAATATACTTATTTTGTTTATTTTTTGACACTTTGAGATTTAGATTTATTTTTTGTTCTCGAACAGATTAACCAATTATCACTGATATTGCCAGATGTAGAAACTTTGAGCGGCTAGAAGTAAGTCAAAAAGCAAGCTGTCCTTCTTTCTTCAATGAATTACGTAATTTAGCAGATTAAAAACACGGCGGATGAAAAATGTAACGATGAAAGTGAGCTTTGTGTGGTTGTCAGCCGTCTTTTGTGCACTTGCCAAGTTCAACACTTGAAGTAATTATGACCGAGAGCTTTAGGGATGCAAATGTCTTTCAGTACACTCTTACGTAACGTGTTCATAATTCTTAGAGAATGTGAGTGTTCTGCTTTTCATTGGAGCAGGTCAATCTGAGGAGGACTGTGAGCTTGTGTCATCATATAGTCTAAGTAACTCCAGCTCCACCTCTCACTGTCTGAGTTTAAGAAACACAATAGTGACGACTCCACTGCAGTCAAGAAGAGAAATTATGAATATCAAGGTGCATTATGTAACTTTTTGAGAGGAAAGTTTCAAACTGGGCTGGCAATTCCCAACTCATTGTTCGGTGCCCATAGTAGAAGTGACGGTTTCCTATTTCAATCTGAAAACTGCGTTATGCCCATGGGAGCTACAACATAAGGCTTTGTAGGGCTGTATATCTGTGTCTTATGTCTTTTATCCTGCATCTGAGACCTCCCTCTCCTATGTCTATCTTTAGAATGGCTTTTCGGGGATAGAAGTGCAAGATCAGGGCCTTCAAGCTATGTGCTTTAGCCTTTAATGAACACGTCTAATTGTATAATTACAGTGTTGCGTTAGTTACTTTAAAAATGAAATTAGTTGCAAATTACTAGTTATTATAAAAAAAGTGAATATTTACATTACTTAGTTCCCCAAGTAACTAACTAACATAATTTTTAGATTAATTAATGGCCCTCATTTATGAAACTTGCGAACGGCCAAATCAGGGTGTAAATGAGACGTACGTAAAAAAAATGTACACTTTTTGGCATTTATCAACCTGGAAGTGAGCGTATGGTACGCACAAAATATACACAGAATCTCGAGGTGACGTAAATTTTAAACTTAATCTCAACACACAAAAACATGCATGAAATTCAAGATTTGGACAACAATAAACAAATTCCCACTCTGGCAAAATTATAGACACATTTCTCACTTTACAAATATGCAATTTCACAGTTATGTTTGGGCTACAGTAGGCCGATAGTTTGTATGATTAGATAATGTGCATGTCAAACTCCAAAGTCTCCCGCAAATGTGTGGATTGTTATGTGTAGCACCTAAGCTTGATCACCTACAATCAATGAGCAACAGTTTGGTTCATGGGGGTCCAAGCAAAGACGCGCGCCACCGTGGAGGCTGCACAGGTCTCCTCAAAGGAAGATGGCTCTGGGACATGCAGGGGTTACGCCCTTGAACTCACGGAGAAAGCGTGCCATGTCATCCTGGCTCAGTCCTCCACAACAGGCACAGAACCACAGTGTACAGTACCATTGGATGCACCGGTGGAGCAGCCCACAAATGAGAGACCATGGCCGGTGCTGGCCATGGTCTCTCACTGAGGCCTGCACTAAGTTCACCCTGTACGGCACAAACAGGCATTAATTCAACAAATTAAAATAATAATCACACAAATGCAATTTTATTTGTTTTTGGATGCTTTGGTCTGGTGGTCCTCCCCTGGTCTGCTGAGAACTTATTTTATGGATTGCTAAATGCCTTTTTGTTGCCATTTTAAGGTTGCTCCATTATTTTTCATCTGTATGCATGAATTAATACATTCTAACTATTGGCCCATTATATCTGTCAACTGTTTCACATAATATAGCATATATTTCTCTTTAAACAAACATGAATGAACTCACCTCTTCAGGAGCGTGCGTTACAGGCCCCAGGTTGTTCTCAGATGTTGTCATCTCTTTAAATCAAGGGCGTAGGTTTGCGTGGGGACCATGGGGACATGTCCCCACCAATATTTGGTGAGGACTAAAAAGTCCCCACCAAAATGACATGATGTCCCGTGACCCGGACGGTCCGGGACACATGTCTTCCGTTTGTGCATACGTCGCGCCTCCTCCTCGCCTCCAGAGCAACAGCAGCAGCAGCAGCACGTGACCCGTTCCGTTCTCTGCAGTGATTGGCTGTCTTCTTCAGCGCCAAACTGAAGCACTGAGCGACTGTTTAATTTTTTAAAGTTAGCCAGCGTGAAGCAAGTGTTTTTTTTCGTTCCCTGAGCGTTGTAGCACGTGAGTAATCAGAGGAAAGTACTGTAGATCTATTACCATTCAAAGTACTTACGTTATTTCTAATCTGTCAGCGCACTGTTTAATGTTCCGAGGAGCTCACACGGCACACAGAGACAGAACAGAACTGGCTCCAATAAAAAAACAGGTTGGTTGAAAGGCTGAAAAAATACTTATTGTGCTCTTACTATCCAAAATGTATAAGTGGGTGTGTTGTGTGAATCAGGATAAACTAGGGATAAAAATATTCCACGGATCCACGATTTACAACCCTTATCTGCTGATAATGTGATTTCTGTGAAATGTGTGACAGCGGGCACTTGCTGTTATTTGTTCTAAGCACATTCAAGCGATGCACTCGAATGTGCACGTCCTGGTGCAGCTGCTGCCGCTTTGTAATGACAGCCGCGGCGCTCAGTGAAAGCACAGCTCTAACATGGTACCGAGCTCGGACCATATGCAGACAGAACCATGTTGCAAGTGCGGGTCTCCCTCGTATCCCCCCCGTTTCTCCCCTGTGTCTCTGACATGTCTCTCCCCTGACTCTTCCCAAAGCGCAACCAGCGCTCCCGAAATTAAAGCTCGGATACGTAAATTTTCCATTGCGTTAACGATGCATGCTGGTTGTGCGCAAAACACACCACAACAGGTCATTTAAGTTTTTATTTTGCATACTTGAGAGCCCTGTGAGTCATTACTCGCCTTTTTGGGTTGAGAGTGGAATAAAAAAAAGAAAATATAGAAAAATCCACACTGTTACTTATTGCCAAACTCTTGTTAACTCATTGTATTGAGAAATACTATGTAACTTTTGACATTGGCCAAGTTATATAAATTATTCTGCAGTTCATGTATATGAATGTCTGTTTTTGATTTTCTATACCTTCTTATATAATTTAGAAAAAATGCCACCTCCACAAAAAAAGATAAAAGATATCAGGAGCTTTTTTAACAGTTGGAAAGTAAGTAAGAGAAAGCACAGGTAATAGCAAATTATGAATTGTGATGATTAATCTTCTGTTAACATACATAGGAAACTCAACCAACAAGAGAGAACAATATAGGGAATGTTGAGGTAGAAGCAACAGGCCCTTCAGTGCATCAGGCGAGGTTGGAATTTTGTAGGTATGCATTGGACTATGAATTGTTTTTAGAGATTGATTGTATATGTCAAACAATGTAGTGAGATACTCACTGTAGATTCTAATTCAATATTTTCTCCTCTGTTTTTATTTATTATAGGAAATTGAAAGATCAGAGCATGATTTATTTCAAGTATCGAGAGCAGTTCCTGAACTGTTAGAGCCTCAGGTGAGGGCTATTATGTAGATTTGGATTAGGTTTAAGTCAGTATAGAATGAACGCAACACAAAACTCAGAAGCTCTGATCCAATTGATTTTGTTTTAACTATTAGAAAAAATCCTTAACTGCTTCTCATTCAGTCTACAGCTGAGTTTAGTATAGAAGGCAACACACTATTGCAAATATAGTGTGTGATTACACAACAAATTCTGGGGGA